AATAAATTACGTAAAAGTAAAAACGCAATTGCAGAAAACAGCGACAGTCACTGTGCCTGTATTTTCCTCTAAAAATAAGCAGTGACTCTTTTCTATTCGTTTTCAGTACATTCAATTATTTTTTGTTCGGATTTATTAATCTTAACAGCTAAACTCTATTCATCGTATTTATGTTTTCGTAATTCAAAATCGTAATCGATCTGATATTTTAATCCAAATCACAGCACGAGACAGACAGGCGGACACACACACACACACACACACACACACACACACACACACACACACAGAGAGAGAGAGAGAGAGAGAGAGAGAGAGAGAGAGAGAGAGAGAGAGAGAGAGAGAGAGAGAGAGAGAAAGAGAAATAGAGAGAGAGAGAGAGAGAGAGAGAGAGAGAGAGAGAGAGAGAGAGAGAGAGAGAGAGAGAGAGAGAGAGAGAGAGAGAGAGAGAGAGAGAGAGAGAAAGACAAAGAGAGAGCTAACAAGAATCGATAAGAAGAAGAAGAAGAAGAAGAAGAAGAAGAATATGAAAGAAGGGAGAGAGGAAAGAAAAACCTCATCCGAACCCCAGCATCAAAAGCAAGATGGCTTGGCAAGCGACGGTGATATTCTCCCTCACATTCCCGATGGATGAGCCTCTTTATAGCGGTAGAGCAAACCCACTTGCTTCTGAGAGGATGAAAAATGGCGTTCCTTGCCTGGCCGTCTGTCCCACTCACACTTTTAGAACATATCCTTCTCCGTATACTTGTGGAAGGGATACGAAGTGAGTTAAAGTGGCTTCCGGAAACCGCAGTGAGCACGGTCGAGAAACGTACAAAAGTTATAAATGAAAATGGACGGTCTCACTATGTAATTAACGTAATGCAGATGAAGATTTACTAACGACAAGTTAATTGGATCTCTGCAATCATCAAATTACCATTTTTTTTTCTTCTTTGAAACCTACACACACATCCCACACTAAATCCTCTCACGGTGGAAAACCACTGAATGCTGATTTGTCTTTTAAGCTTACAAAAGCTACTATACTTTCCTACCTACCAATTTTACCCGGCACGTCTCTGATTCAGACAAAGGCGCTTGCAATAGGGCCCTGGATATCACAGGTGCATTTCACTTTACCTGACAATTAGGTCGTCATTGCAAACGTTGAAAAGGTGAGGCAATGACGGGAAATTGCAGGTGTTAAAGGAAGACTAGCTGCAGGGGAGACTCTGCCATGAACGAGTCAACAGCTATTTATTTTTTTCTATTGCAGATAAACGCTCTATGTTTCAAATGTGATCATTCATTGCCAAGTATTTTGTCAACTAGCATTTTGTCATTAATCTCCGCCGTTTTCATCTTCCCTCCTTTCTTTAATTTAGATATCTACCTAAAAAAAAACACAATAGTCTACTCTCACCAACCTTAATCTACCCAAAACATTTAATAATTTACCACAAATTTTAGCCAACCGCATCTCCCCCCGAATCAACTCACAGTCAACCCTCGTCAACCTTAATCTACTCAGACACCCACTTTCTACCACAAATCTAGCCTTAATCTACTCCAGCATCTACTCATCTCATCAACTCATCGACTGACAAACTAACCAAAGAACAAAGAAATCAAACCTTAAAGCAAAAAAAGGAAAAAAAAAGAAAAGAAAAAACAGATAAAAACAAACAACAACCAATCTATAAACCAATGAAGCCTAGATAAACAACGAATTCAAAATAAACCTAAAAAAAACAAAAACACTTAAATATTTCAAGCAACCGAAACAGTTAACAGATAAACCAAGAAACCAGCTACTAAACCAGCCAATAAACCAAAGGAACCAGACAACCAAAATATCAACCAATCAACGCGACTGAAGAGTAAATTTCGCTTTCTCATTTCCTTTTGGTTTGCGGTTTAGCTGATGGATAGAGAAAAAAAGAGAGAATATGATAAAGATGAATGAAAGATACATACAAAAATTTTAGATAAATAAAGATGAATGAAAGATAAATGAAAAATAAGGATGAATAAAAGACAAAATACCAAAGATATAGATAGATAGATAGATAGATCGATAGATAGATAAAGATAAAGCAAAAAATGATTTACGAAATAAAGATTAACAAAATATAAAAGAAAAGATAAAGACACATAAATGAAGATATCTGAACTGTTGCATGTCATTTGTAGCAATTGCAGAAGTTGAATAAAATCTGGTGCATGAAAAGAGGCAAACCTGTTACTGAATAAAATATAAAGCATGAATTACAAAGCGTAATGCCATAAAAGATAATGTATAATGTTTACTGAACAGCTTGGGCGAATGTGTTTTGTTTTAGCAGAATATTAAAAGGAATTATGTTATGAATATCTTCAAAATAGGCTGTAGATATAAGTCAACATATTTGGAATATAATGTAAAGAAGGTATAAAGTTTAGTCAGCTATGAGCCTTGTATTTGTTGAAATGTTTCTCCATTTTCCTCCCTACCCCTAACCTGCTGCCTTCCCCCCCTCCCCCTATTTCAACTGTCCCCCCCTTCCTTCCCTACCCCCTCCCCCCCTCTCTCCTCACTCCACCATTTCCACTAACTCCCACCTTCCGCCTCCATCCCCTTTCCCTCCACCCTACCCCCTACCCCAGCTCCCTCCTTCCATCCCACCACTCCTAACCTGCCCCACTCCCCCCCTTCCTCCCACACCCCTCCCCTAGCTCCCTCCTCCTGTCCTCACCCCACTTCCCCCTCCCCCTCCCCCTACCCCCTCCTCGTATCCCTCC